AAAAATCTTAAGTTGGTTATAATAAAACTATGTGAGACCAAACACATGTGTATATGTGTAGGTGTACACACGTGTACATGTGTACCCATGTACGTGCGAGCTCATCTGTCCATGTGTGTTGTGCATATATGCACTCCATGTGTACACACATGTGCCTGTACACACATACTTCACATGTGTTCCTACAGGTAGTGTGCATGTGTGCGCATGCACATGTATATGTGTGGCTCTGGGCCTGATTAAATACAAACCTTTATATCTTGATCACAAATGACCCACCTGAACTGTGACTAATTGTGAAGAGGGTGCTGCATGGCTAAAGTTTCATCACTGTCACTTTTAGAAGATCTATTTATTCAAGAGGTAGTGACAGAGAGAGAGAGAGAGAGAGATAAATAGGTCTTCCCTCTGCTGATCCATTCTCCAAATGGCTGAAGCATCTGGGGCTTGCTAGGTAGAAGCCAGAGGCAGCCAGGGCTCCACCCAGTCTCCCACATGTGTGGCAGGCCCAGTTGAGCCATCTTCTGCTACCTTCCCAGGTGCACTAGCAGGGAGCTGAACAGGAGTGGAACACCGGGACTTGATCCAGCCCGTGATATGGGACGCCGGCATCGCAGCAGGGGCCCATCGCTGCTGCTCTGTGTGCATCTTGGCTGAGAGGAACAGCCATTCCATGCCTCAGCTGCCACATCTGGGAAGTGGGTGTAAGCTGACTTCCCTTCTCTTCTCAGGAGGGCAACAACATGTGCAGAAGCACTCTGCCCAGTGTCAAATATGCAACACTCTGCGAGACGCAGGCACCACGTGGATTTGGGGAAGGCACAGCGACACCCGTGTCTACACTGTTCTCCCTGCAGGCGCCAGTGCCCAAGCCCTAAAGGCCCCAGCACAGGTAGAGCAGAGCAGCTGATGGGACGATGGTTTTCCTAGTAGGAGGCAGCTGATGTGCGACAGCCATCGCCGAGGTGGCACAGCCCGTGTCTGCAGCCTGTTACAAGGCAGGCGGATCTTCAGCCAGGGCAGCACTGTCTTCCGGTCGGGAAAGCAGAGCTGCATCAAGGGCAGTGTGCACGCAGCTCTGTGGCTTCCGCGTTGCAGACGAGGGTCAGAGGATCACCAGGACGGGGTTATTCTAAGAGGCCGGCGGGCAGGGACGAGCCCGGGAGCCACGCAGAGAGCAAGCCTAGCGTGGCCCAGGTAAGTTCAGCCCTGCACCCACATTGCCTCACACCTGAGGGATCAGCTGAGGCAGCCTAGAAATAAGTACCTTTGGCAAAATGTAAGATCTGGGCTGAAATTCAGTTTTAACTCTTTGATTTATGGTTTATTTTAAAGTCAACATAACCAAGTTTAACAAAAAGAGGCTGTATTCTCTATGTGACTAAGCTACAGATCCCCGGGCTGTACAGCTGGACACTCCAGCTTGTGTAAGAGAACATTCTACAGGGCAGGCAACCACAGCGCAGACCCCTAGCCCACCCTATCCTCAGTGATTACACCAAAACCCAGATGTCAAGAAGACAAGACTAACCACCAGCCTCAACTTCCTTTTCCAGAAAGGACACACACTAAGACAGGACTGGGGCTATTTTAAGAAAACCCAATGAGCCAGCGCCGCGGCTCACTAGGCTAATCCTCCGCCTAGCGGCGCCGGCACACCGGGTTCTAGTCCCGGTCGGGGCGCCGGATTCTGTCCCGGTTGCCCCTCTTCCAGGCCAGCTCTCTGCTGTGGCCAGGGAGTGCAGTGGAGGATGGCCCAGGTGCTTGGGCCCTGCACCCCATGGGAGACTAGGAAAAGCACCTGGCTCCTGGCTCCTGCCATCGGATCAGCGCGGTGCGCCGGCCGCAGCGCGCTGGCCGCGGCGGCCATTGGAGGGTGAACCAACGGCAAAGGAAGACCTTTCTCTCTGTCTCTCTCTCTCTCACTGTCCACTCTGCTGTCAAAAAAAAAAAAAAAAAAAGAAAAAAAAAAAGAAAACCCAATGAATAACCAACAAATAAATTTGGCGAAAATATAAGTGGAAGCTTACGTGAAGAGCTACCTGCTTCTGATTGATGTCCACCTGATTTGGCTCAAATTGGTTTTTGATTGGGCTAACTCACCTGCGGCATGCCAGTGTCTGCCATTGGGGGAGGAGGCGTCTCTGGCTGGGAAGACAGGGTTTCCTAAGATACAGAGCCTGCCCCGATTATATGACTTGCAAGCTCTTTCAAGGAAAATTTTAAGAGAAGAAACTTCCTCTTGGAATCAGAGCTCATGTTGGGCAGAGGTTTCACCAAAAGAAAAAGAAAATCATGTGGCTTTGCCTAGGCGTATTCTTGCTTGCTTTCTGCATTCTTGCTGGTATTCCCAGTGCCTGGCACAGCCAGGAACTCACTCGGTGCCCAGGGTGTGATGCAGCCCTGGACCTGACTCCAAGGCATCAAGTCTATGGATGTGTGGGCACAGGGGTTTCTGGCCTGTGGTGACCCTCATCCACCGCTTCCAGTCCTCTTCCTCCCGCTGCCCGCCCTGGCTCCTGCCTCACTCTGGGCCCAGGACTGTGCATCCCCTTTGAATGGACCAGGACTAGGGAAGGTAGCAGTCCCAGAACTTGGCAAAGATTCATGTGCACACTGCACTTTAATGCACGCCAGTTTACATATTGTACATAGACAGAAACTACTGACCAGCCCACACAGTTGCTCCAGATGATAACCAATCAGTGTCGTCCAAGGAAATTCACAAGCTTTGAGGATACAAGACCCAGAAGTTATATGGCAAAATTTGCCTTCTCTGTGACTAAGAAAGTCCTGTCCATGGCTGACTACCAAGACTCAGTGTTGGACACGACAAGAGGAAAGTTTCCAGAAAATTCCAGCTATTAGCTGATGTGTAATGGAGAAGACTGACTCCCTTTCTAACAGATTTTTGGGAATAGGCAGAGCTTGCATTGTACACTGAGTGATGAATTCACTTTCTTAAGTGGGATTGAGCGAAGATTTAAAAAAATGCACAACAGAGTGATATATCCAGGAGGGCATACGCATGGATTATTCTACAGAAGGCAGCTGTAACCCTTAAAGAGATGAGTCCAGGTTCACATGCTTAGAGAAGCCATCCAAAAGAACTGTCTCAGATGAAAAAGCAAACTGGCAATGGATAGAAGCCAGCATCAATTACCAGGTTAGAAGAAAAGTTATTACAATCTATGGTTTCGTCAGTTTAGAAAGATGTGTCATCAAGGAAAAGTTTGATGCTTAAATATTTGTCTTTCTTATCAGAGACCTGCCATTGAAATCCCCCAGCTGAAGAGCCAGGAACTGAACATAACTATTTCAGAAATCAGTTCACACTTCCCAGGGCGGTCCATCACTATGGGTCTTCCTTTTTGTAGAGACAAGGTTAGGAACGGTGTGGCTTTCAGAGGGCAGAATCAAGCAAAGGTCACCCACCCTCTGGGAGACACAGTCCCCGCTCAGAAGAAAAGAGAGCTGATGGGTCCCTACCAGGCCCGGGGGCTGCGCCCAGCGGACCGCCCAGCTCTGAAGGCACTGGGTATGAAGTCAGAAAGGGAGAAGGCGCTGGAAGCGGAGAAACGGCAGGTGTGCAGGGACCTCAGGCCGACACGCACTCCAGGCCCGATGTGAGGAGTGAGAGCAGTGACAGCCACACACACAGGAACAGCACTGCCCCCGGGGTGCTGGGAACCGAGTGGGCAGAGGCAAGACAGGCAGCCAAGACTCCTTCCCATCCACTGCGGGCCTCCTGGGCCTGGAGACGCCCCCGACGTACAAAATGTCTCTCATCAAGAGATTCAGAGCAGTGCCGCCGCGTTCCAAGCGCAGGGGTTCAATTGCTGACCAGGAGGGAGTGTGGCCTCAAGCCATGACAAAGAGATCCCTGAACGAAGCAGGCCGACGGGGCCTCACCAACGCCTTCCGCTCCGACATCTAGAGCTACTTTGTCCGGGAGGACGCCCCAGCAAGAGGAGGCCCTCGGGCGTCTGCGCAGTTCTTGTGTTGGAAGGGCTAGTACAGGAAGTCACTGAACATGAGCAGGTGGTCTATGGCACTAGGGCCTTGGGCAGAGAGCCTGTAAGAGACAACACGGCGTGAGACAAAGCCCTGCACCGGGGGACAGCCTGGCCCACGTCGTAGCAGCAGTCTCGGGTGGGACGGTTGGGAAGTCACCAAGAATGGGTTCTGAAAACAAGTGTTTTCTTTGTATGTCTAATAAAGTCTTCTCCAAACCAAATAAGCCGAGCAATCGATAGGATGCGATATGTGGAATACTGAGAAAAGTGACTCGGGGAAGCCCTGGTTCTCTCACACTGTGGGGCTCTCAAGTCTGCTCCTCTTTGCCCTGCACACACTCACGTCTGCTCTACCCAGGGTAGACGTGCTCCCCATGACCTGTACTGAGACCTGCCTGAGACCTGAGTGTGGGACACAGAGGAGGAGACCCGCAGTCTGGCTGGGGAGGTCGGCAGCTTCGAGTCTGGCCAGATTTACGCTTCGAAGGCACAGGTGGACAGGAGAGGGAGGTGACGCGAGTAAAAGACCTGCGTGTCCCCATGACTATAGGCGCATCCCTGAGGAAGGGCCAACACCTGAACTAGAGCCTATCCTGGAAGGATGTTAGCCTTAGTGCTATCGAAGTGTCCACATTTTCAATATGCATAGTGAATTCTCAATTTTTAAAAACCTAATTTTGACTCTCCAGGTTCCAACTATTTCCTGAATATCTGAACAGTTCCGTGTGCACCTGGTCTGAGGTCAGCTGCTTGGGCTCCTGAATGCCAGACACAGAAAGGGTCTGATGGGAAAGAACTGGGTTTTGACAAACACTGGGGACAAAGGCAGAAGGGGTGGCCCAGACCCAGGACCAACCCCACGGACTCAAGGCACCGAGGTGCACAGGTGATTTCGTAAAAAGACACTTCTCTTTTCAAGCCCACACTTTTTGCGAACCAGGGAGTGAACAGCTTTAGAAGAGAATGATTTCCAGGAGCGCTTACTTGAGTTCTTGTGAACTGGTGGCCAGCATGCTTCGGATGCTTTTGTCCGCCAGTGGGCATCCAGACAGACTGCAAGACAGGCCAGGAGAGGCAGGTGAGTCGGCCGCTGCGCAGCACCGCCTCCCAAACCACACACATGAAGGTTGAAACCAAAAAGCTGAATGCGGAAGTGCAATGGGGCAAGTGCTGTATATTGAATTTTTAGGGATGATTCACTCTGAACATGTTCAAAGAAAAATTTAAGGAAGCATTGCTGCTAATAAATACTTTTTAGAAATAAAATATCTGTGCTCTTTGGTTTAAAAGTTTGAAAGGATTTTGTGAATTTATGTAGCTTGTTTTAAGAATAAAAAGACATCATACAACACACAAATTGGCATGCTTTTGAAGGTCAACATATAGCACTTAGGGGCTGACACAGAATTGAACAGTTCTACTTTGACAGCATTGTTGAGGTAAGCTGAAAACAATAAACTGGAAAGACAGAATCCACCATGAGAAAAGGAAGGCACACCTTCTATGTGAGGCGTAATTACCGGTCACATGACCACTCCCATCACACCCTGGAGTTGGACATCTGCCACCAAACAAAAACAAAAACAGCCAAAATAGTAAGTATGCTTTTTTCTTTTTCTTTTTTTTTTTAAAAAAAAACTTTTAAAAAAGTTTCATTGTTTCCAGTTTAGCTGCAATGTCTGCGAGGGGATTTAAGCACCGGAAGAAAAGCTGCAAAACGCACAGGAGCAGCGGTCAGACAAGCAAGTCCACGGTCAGCTCCTCCTCCTGCTCGACCGCCGCAGCTCCAGACAGTTGGGGCTGCGATGTCGCATGCTCACACGCAAGGCAGGTGCAGATCCGGTCTTTAACTAGCCAGAAGGGGCGGAAGAGCCACTCCCACCTCACGTCATGCTTACGTTATCAAGTCCTTTTTGCTCTCCTTGCACTGGGGGTACTTGGGCTTGGGACTCGGGATGGTCACCTCCCCGGGGTACCTCCTCTCCTCCAGGGCCTCCTGGAACGGGTCCAAGTCTTCTGGCTGCAGATAAAGCACAGGTTGAGAGAGGGCAGCCAGGTGCCGGCCCACTCAGGCATCGGCCTCCGCCTGCTTGACCCGTAATATGCTGTACACCTCTGTCCTCACCAAACGCCCTGGTGAAACACAAACTGGACCTTTCGACCCTGCCCTCAGCTCTCCAGCACGGTCGCCTGACGGTGGGCAGGGACCTTAATCAGTCCCCGCTAGCCATCTTCACCCAGGGCACATAAACGGCCTGCGGCCACAGAGACCACTTCCAACGCAGGCTTTGTCACCCAACACTCACAGGCTGCCTTAGGTGACACCTTGATTCTATGCCGATCTGAAAAGTTCGTTAAGTGCTACACCTACAAGTATCTTACGAGATTTTGCCAACTGCTAAAAATATGTTGCATACGTGTGCGCTGAAGATGTGAGGCGAAGGAAGGCCCACTAAGTTAACGCTGTCCTTTTAAAGGATCACCCAGCATTCATGCTTTCGCTAAGGAGAGGTTGCAGTGACCTGGACGTGCCTGCAGGTGGCAGCACTCGCACCTGCTTCCTGACCCTGCAGCCACATGGGCAGGTCTGACCTGAGTCTGGTTTGAGGCCTCAATTTTAACTAAAGAACGTACTTTCATGGCTTATCTGGTAGTAACCACACCGAACGAGAGAAGCACAGACATACAGCATGCAACTGCGATTACACAGTGCTTGGATACTGAAGTCAACTTGAAGAATCAACGGAATAGGCTTAGAGCAGGCGCCTCTTGCCAGTCCCTGCATGGAGCCCAGGGTTTCCCCTCCCCCTCCATGGCTCCTTGCCTCTGTGAGACTTTGTTGCTTTGATGGGGGCCTCCATTTTGTACTAAAATATGCTCATTTTCCAGTCAATAAAGATGCCATAATTTTCAGATTTGAACATTCTGAAAATCAGAAAGAAAAAATCAGAAAAAAAATCAGTCCAGTAAAGAAAAAAAAAAAGAATTTTCTTTGCCTAAAAACAGTCAGATCTATTTTAATAACTTGAATTTTTAGTTTGCAACTATTTTAAAAATCTGGTGTCAGGTGTCTTAGTAACGCCGCCATCAGCAGAGATCCCGGAGACGGCGCTGCGGTGGGTTAGCAGGCGGCGCATGCCCCGTGAGCTCTCCACCTCTAGAGAAGGCCGGCGCCTTCCACCCCGAGGGGGCAGCCAGTAACAGCACACAGAGCACCGGCTGAGAACCTGGGGCCCGGTCCCCATCCTCCACCTGTGAGGGATCCCCGGGGCTGTCCCAGAGCACCCACAGAGCGAGCTCCCGTGCTGCCCACACCCTTTCTCGGAGAAGGTATGTAGAACAAAACAGCCTTGCCAGGAAGCAAACTCCATCACGGAAAAGAATCAGGGGTTTGTTTCGCTCAGATCCACGTCAGTCTCGTCTCTCCTGGGCCCGTCAGCTGCACCCAGGCGTCCCCAGGGGCGGGGAGCACAGGGGCAGTGCCTTCCTGAGCCGGCACAGGCGCCGCCCTGCAGGCTGCGTGCGGAGGGACTTACGGTGATCTCTTTGGAATCCTCCTCGTCTACCCTCCGGGGCTTCATTTTGGTGTAGTCCACAGGCAGGTCCCAGCAGTCGCCCTCGCTCAGGGGGAAACACCGGGAGCTCATCACAGCCTGCTGCTGAGGGGACATGGGCTCCAGGGGGGTCAGGATGGGGCAGCAGCCGTCCCGCGGCCTCTGCTTGTTCATGCTGAGGTCCAGGGTCCCGTTCTCATCCACCTCCACATCGGGGTTCTGCAGACACAAAGACAGGGGCTCCACTTGGCCTGAGGTCCCGCAGCCGCCTTCCCAACCCAGGCCGCGGTCTTGCCTTCCCACGGGGGATCCCTCACTGCATCTCGAGGTGAACACGGGGTCTGCAGGTGCATCGGCGCCAGCCCAGGGTAGCTGCAAATCCTCAGAAGATCCACGTTCCCACCCGCCCATCTGTCCAGTGTCCAGGCACCACCCGCCTTCCCATCTGTGCACTCCTCTGTCTGTCCTCTCCCACTCACCCATCTGTCCACCCACCCACCCACCGATCTGTCCAGTGCCCATGCACCACTGGTCTTCCCATCTGTGCACTCATCTGTCTGTCCTCTCCCACTCACCCATCTGTCCACCCACCCACCCACCGATCTGTCCAGCATCCACGCACCACCTGTCTTCCCATCTGTGCACTCCTGTCTGTCCTCTCCCACTCACCCATCTGTCCACCAGCCAATCTGTCCACGTGCCCACCACCCATCTGTGCACTGTTCTATCCACTCCCACTCACCCATCTGTCCACCCACCCACCCACCGATCTGTCCAGTGTCCATGCACCACCCACCTTCCCATCTGTGCACTCCTCTGTCTGTCCTCTCCCACTCACCCATCTGTCTACCCGCCAATCTGTCCACGTGCCCACCACCTACCCGCCCTCCATCTGTGCACTGTTCTATCCACTCCCACTCATCCGTCTACCCATCCATGCACTTGTCAATCTGTTCATCCATCCACCCACCAATTCATTCGTCCATGATCCATCCATCCTCTTTCCCTCTTTTCCAAGCTATTTCTGCTTTTTAGAAATGAACCTGGGCAAAAGCTTAATTCAAGCTCTTCCCAGGCTAAATACCTGAGAGCAAGAATGTGCACATATGGGAATTTCAAAAAGTTCATGGGAGGTGGAATTAAAAGCTTTATTTTGGTACTTTTTTTTGAAATCCATGTACACAAGGAACCTTCAGGGAGTTCATAGAAAATGCATATTATTTAAAAACCATGCATAGATTCCTAAGTTTTCACGCCAAGCTAAACCTGTGTTTTAACTTCCAGGAGCTTTCGGAAGTCCTCTGGATTGTGCTCCTGCATCAGCTTAGCACTCTCCCTGGGTCAGCGCCGACGCTAACATGTCCGAACTACGGGGGAGGATGAGGAGGGAGGGGCAGAGAGAACCCCGCCGTGTAAGCCAGGAGGCGGAGTCACACTCCAGAACCCGAGATGGGCGCAGGTGATCAGGGACTGACCCTGGCTTTCCTCAACTAGCCCCGAGACAGAAACGGGGTGGGGTTTCCTTGAGTAAGCCTTGAACAGGCCAGGCTGCGCTGGGGCAGAGGGTGGGACACGGAGCCAGCAGGCCCAGACCGTCCCGAGCGGCCCCAGGCTGTTACCCCGGACACACCATGCACCACACACCAACACTCGGACAGCGTGACCCCCGGTGAAGGCTCACTGATTCTCTCAGACTCCATTCTACTTGGAGGAAAAGCCCCGGAGGGGCACTGTCTGTCCACTCCGGCCACAGCGCTCTTTCGCGCCAGCCTCCGCTTTGCAGCCCTGCCCATTTCGATGTCCCCTGCTCAGGAGTCAGCAACAGAGCGACTGCAAACGCTGGCGACCTGGGGCCCTGGTGCTGCAGGAGAGGGGGTGCAGCTGCCCATGCCGCCCGCTTGCTCCCGCCACCAGGTGGCCGCCGCGGGGAGCTCCTCTCCGGTCTCCGGCCCTCGAGCTCCAGCACAATCAAGCTGAGTGTAAGGAAACAACGGGCGGGCAGTCCTTCCCCTGGGCTGCCCTTTGCTCACAGAGCCAGAGGGGCAGGGTCGGCTGCTGCCGCTAAGGCAGCAGGGCCAGGGCTCCCTCCTGACGAGGCCCACGTGCTAGCCGGCTGCTCTGAGCCGCCCACGCTCACTGTTCCTGTGCGCGCCCCTTGCTGGTGCCCTGCTTCCAGGGCTGCACTGAGCCACACTGTGGTGCCCACCCGCCCCGGTGCGCGTACCCGTGTGGCACACAGGTCCTGTGGCTTGGTGGACAGGTTCTGAGGCATCTCTCGGCAGCGCGTGGACAGGTTGAGGATGGCCGTGGCCGCCATGTGCGCTGCCTCCATGTCGTGCGTGTAGTCGAAGCTGCTCTTGCTGCACGTGCTGCTGGCGCTGCTGCCGCCGCCGCAACTCAGGCTGCCGCTGCTGGGCGCGTAGCTGCTGCTGCTGCTGCTGCTGGGGCTGGGGTTCTTGCAGTACCGCTTGGCTGCAGGACACAGACAGGGCTGACTGCCGGCCCAGGGCACAGCGGACACACAGCAGAGCCCCTCCGCCCCCATCCCGTTTAGACACACAGTGCGGGGAGGGGGCTTATCCAGAGGGAAGGATTCTCCGCCCTGGACTCCTTTCCCTTTTGACCTTGCACGTGTTTGGGTGAGCAGGGCGGGGCTGGCCCTGCCAGAGGACATGCGGGTCTCTCACACAGGCCACACACTGCGTGCCAGTCACCTACTGAGAGCAGGTGAGCAGGCAGGGGCGTGCTGGCTGCTCCAGCCTAGTGCAGCCCCAGGACGCAGCCTGAGCAGTGCTCCCCAGCTGGGAGGGGTGCAGTGACCAAGTGGAATTCAGTGTCCCCATGCGGGTGACCCAGATTCTCAGGGTGCCTGGGAGCCACTGCCAGGCCTGCGGGCACCATGGGCTGTGGGGTGTGGACTTGTGGCCGGCACACAGCCCAGACAACTCCCGCTTCCACTGTCCTGTAATTCCAACACGAGCCCCACTCCTGCAGGCACAGGCAAGCCAGGCAGCGGCCACCCGGCTGGAGCGACAGGCCCTCGCCCACCTGGCCGGAGCTACTCGCTGTGTTCTCCATCCTCCCTGAGCAGCACCCCACACAGCTCACGGGCCCTCAGGAGCCAGGGCCTTCCTCAGAACTGTTTCCGGTTCCCTCCAGGGACCGTTTCTAAGAACGGTTTCCAGTTCCCTCCAGGGACCGTTTCTAAGAACGGTTTCCAGTCCCCTCTAGCGCACAGACCGGTGTCTGGGTGGCTGGCTGCTGAGGACGGGCCCTTCTGCCCCAGGATCATCACTGTCAGTCGGGACTGCAGCTCAGCTGTTTGCTCAGGGGCCAGGTATTTCACCCTGAACCCAGTGGGGAGAGTGACGCGGAGGAGAGCCTGGGGCACAGGCCTCTCTCTCCCAGTCCTCGCCCTGTGCCAGTCACTCCAGTCAGTCAGCACCTTCTTTCCAGAGCCACCCAGCTCCTTCCCATGCCAGGAGAAGCCGCTGAAGGGATGGGCAGCTGTGCCAAGACAAACGTGGCCTAGGTCTGCCTGTGCTCGGGCTGCCCTGGTCTTCATGGGCAAAGCTCCAAGTGGGTGGTGCTGCTGGAGCCTCAGCCACATCTCCTGCTGGGAGGGCAGGGTTCCTGTGCTGTGACACTGGCAGCTCTGGATCTGGGGCCTGACTTCCTCCCAAAGAGAGGGAAGAAGGAAATGAAATGGCCACCCCACACGCTGCTGACGGGGGCAGCAGGAGCTATGCCGAGAAGCTACCCCAAAGCACTGGATTCAACCTGAGGGGAGGACCCAGTCAGCCATGGCTGTGGGTTTCCATTTTGGCACTCTCAGGACATAAAGACCAGGAGCATGCTCAGGACAAGCCAGAGGAGCCCAGGGCCAGAGACAGCCACCCTGTCTGGTCCCAGCCCCTGCCAAAAGCTGCGAATACCAGGTCACACCCAGGTTCTGCTGCGTGCCCCAGGGCTAAGTTCAGATGCACACAACCCACGCAGTACCCGAGCAACCTGCACACAGTGTGACATCCTGTGATGGCCCCCACACCACTGAGCCACAGGAATAGTTCCCACAGCCGGTGATGTGGCTGCCTGCCTTCCTCTCAAGCGCTGTGACTGGGCCTTTGCTGAGTGGCGACTGCAGGGTCCAGGCGGGCCATGGCTACAGGGGAGGGGCCAGGCAGGCCATGGCTGCAGGGTCCAGGAGGGCCATGGCTGCAGGGTCCAGGTGGGCCATGGCTGCTGGTCTGAGCACAGACTTTGCCAGGGCCCAGGAAGGGCCCAAGGTCTGCCCAGTGGGCACCAGGAGCTACACAGACCCTCTGACTGCAGCTGGTCACCTGGGTGTGGACCAAAGTCTGTGGTCTCCACCTTTTAAAACCTTATTGAAAACAAGGGATATAAAAGTAGCAAGGAAATGACATCGTGCTTAGTATGAGAGGTCTTTTTCCTAACGGATGGGGGCTGCCACTGGTTCAGGGCAGAACAAAGGAAGTGTTTGTATCACTAAGATAAGTGAGTTTTGCTTTGCAATCTCTGAGAAAAAGTACAAGGAACAGTGTCAGCAAGGAGCTACCACAGGTGGGTGGTGAGGCAGACACCAGCTCCACCCAGCATGGTGGGCAACAGGAAGTGTGAGGAGCGAGCAAGGCCCTGCCCGCTGGGCTCACAGGGCTCTCCACCTCACAGGTATGGACGGCCCGAGGTGCCCGGGAATTGGGTCTGTGAGGCAGGCTACCTCTCTGTGCCCAGAATTCACTCAAAGGAATCTAACAAGACTGCAGTTTCTCCTCTTCTCTTTCTCTTCTCTTCCACCCACATGTTGAACTCACAAGGTGCCACGTCTGGAATAGGCTGAGTGCAGAGTGCAGAACCCAGCAGGTGGCAGGGCTGCCAAGGATCCCTCCACGTGCTTTGGCATTTACTTACTTTCATGTATCCTCTTACTAAGTGTTTTCCAAAACAAAAACAGGAGTGCCTGCTGTCTGCACTCTAAGTCCCTCAGGATGGGCAGGCTGTCGAGGGAGATGAGCCCTTAGTGTCAGTATCATTCCAGACACTTAGCCCTGCTGTGGGTGCTGCAGAGCAGCGGGCACTGGGGGCATGGGGCCGCCTCCTCCTTCCTCCCCCATGACTGCAGATGGAGTGCTGACTTGTCAGGGGAGAGTGGCTTCACAGGGACAGAATGCACTTCCTGTCTCCTTTAGCGAACAAAGCTCATTCTAGGGAAGTGGCTTAGCACCAGTCAGTAGACAAGGATGGCTAACGGCAAGCACTCAGATCTCAGTGTTATGGGAAGTGCAGCCAGTTCACTCTAGGGCCACCATGGACCAACAGCCTGAGCAGCCCAGCAGGTCCTCTGGCCTGCATCGCAGGAGGGGGAAGCAGAGGGCTCTGCGGGACCCACTGCGCTCCAAGCCACAAACAGAACCTTCTAACCAGACCTTCTTGTCAGCCTGCTCCTCCTGTGACGTGTATGTCTCCTTCTCTTGGAGAGGATCATGTCCTTATGTGTTAGAATTTCCCTGTAGGAAGCAATGAATGTGTGTGCAATCCTGCATTTCCATGAAAACCAGGCAAAATAGATACAAGCAAGAGGCATATCATGAAGTCTTCCAACAGCTGGGACCTGATCACCTTTAGTCTTAATTCCACTGACTCCCTCATCACAACCCACAGCACAGGCTCTTATGGTTTTCACATAGCTTCACCACCACCAAGTTAAAATAGGAATGCAGAATAGCACTTGAAAAACAGGTGCTTCCTTGTAAGAACACCCTGTTAGATATGCACAAGTCACTGCTCCCAGTACCTGAAGCCAGTCAGTCAGTGAGAAGGCTCCTCCTCACAGCTACCAAGGGCCCAGCCGGCATCGCAGGTCTGGGTGAGAGAGAACAAAGCTTCCTGCCCACCAGGAGCTTACAGAGATGCACGGACCAGGCGTTTTCCCACAAGATTAGCTGGAGATGAAACGCAGAGTGTGGGTTACACCCTGCAGGGAGCATCCACGCAGTACATGGATGGGCCGCCAGGAGCAGGCATTGGTCAGACACCTTGGTGCAGGGGGCACCTCTGGTCGGCAAACTCTGGGGCGGTGGCTTACTACCGGGAGGTGCAGGCAGACGTGGCCTGGACAAGGGCAGGCAGCATTTCCTTCAGAGGCCCTCCTAGTAAGTGTGTCAGGCTCTGGGAATGTGGTTACTGCTGGGGCCACTGAGACCAGGCAGGGGCAGCTCTGACCTGCTGAGAGGGGCTGCTTATGAGCCAGGAACACTTCACTTACAGGCATTCGGACTGCACCGAGTTCACAAGCCACAACCACACTTCCAACTTCAGTTTCCCTGCCAGCAACTCAGAAATACGAAGGCCAGCCTAGGGGACCTGCAGACCTGGGTCCTGGAAGTGGGCAGGGTCCTCGAGCCAGGGGATGCCGTGTCCCCTCCCCTCCTTGTCAGCCCTCATGGATTCTGCTTCCCACAGGAGGCCCCCAACTCCTCTGTGTGGACACGATGTGGAAGCCTTCCTTCTCCTCCTCACAAAGCTCGAGTCCAGCCTCCTGGCTCCCGGCTTCCCTCACCAGCACACGGATACACCTGCCTTCACGTAACGCCCACTCAAACTTCAAGATCACATCTGACATCTTTACTCTGGTAAAGCTCATGCTAATTCTTCCAGGCAGAATGGACCTGATTTCCTGGTGTGTTGGTGTATGTGTGTTTCACTGTCTGGTGTTTATTTCTCATCCATTCTTTGATTCTTACTATCCAGAGGAAAAGAAGAGAGTCCCAGATGCATAGACAGGCAGATGCACAGACAGGCAGGCAGATAGAGGAGATACATAGAGAATGAGCAGCTGGTGTGGTGCCTGGGAGGCTGCTGGTGGCTGACAAAGGTTTCCAAGTGTTTCTGATCCCAGTGTGATTCCCGGGATGGCACCCCAAAACTAGGCTGCTCCTCTGCAGGTCCAAGGCCTTGCACTTTCCATCACAACTACTCTGCCTCCTACAACAGGCTCATTTCTCTGCTCTACTTAAGGAGGGACGACTTGGTTCTCTGGACACCTGAGCAAGGCTTGGAGAAGAAGCCATCACTCAGCATCTAGCAGCTGGTGCACAGGTACAGGACAGATGTGCGACAGCCTGGCCCAGGCCACCTCGTCCTCATGGACACTCCCCTGCGTGCCACTGGCATCTGCTGGGTCCGTCTGTGGACACGGAGTCTGTCAGCTCGTCTTCTCAGCTGTGTTTCATGTCGCCTTGCCTTCCTGTGACCCTGGCTGCTCCAACTCTTGCTTTCTCGAGGGTCAGTGGAAGGATGGCCAGCCTGCACTGCTGCGCCTCCTGAGCTCATGAGAATGGACACCAGCAGCTACCGTGCATTCCTTCGTCTCTGTACAGCTGGCCCAGTGCACACCACTGTGGCCCACCGGCCTTCACAGCAGCCTGTGAGGTCAGTGGCGTGGGGCTCCTGCTCCTGACTGCTCCCGAGGCTGGGCCAGGAAGGTCAGTCTGTCCAGGGTCACACAGTCTGCAAGGGGTGGCCTGGCTTCTAGTCCACCAAGGGCAGGGCACTGGATGTGTGCTCAAAGACCCCAGCCTCTCCCAGTTGCATCCTTCACCCCGAGCGGGTGTGGGGGGCAACAGCAAGGTCAGTGGAATTAGGCCACATGGAGCACTGGGCCACATTAGGCCACATGGAACCACCACCTCAAAACAGATGCACAATGGCCATCTAATGAAGCAGTTTACTAAACCATCACAAAATGCCAATGACCTGGAAATCACACGAACAGAATCTCAGTTATGTGGAGTTATCGTCTTCTGATCCTTCATGGGCATCCTTGAAATAACAGAACCTGAAACTGGCGAGTTCTTATTACTGCAGAAACAGTAGAACAAACCCCAAGTGATGGTTTCTATTATACCTTACAATCGCTCCTGTCTTCCATGTGTATGTATGTTTCTTAATATTAGGAACTGATATATAAGGAGAATGAATATAGGATATGTCCAAGAAATGTTAAATCCCGTTCAGTAAACAAATGAACTGTTATTAAGAAATAGCATAGCTTAGAAATATGTGCAAAAACTTGTACTAAATTGTAAAAACATCTCAGAATTTCCCATGCATCCAATGTAAGCTTTTTGGTGTATGAGTTGTGATTTTAATTAAGAAGCTGGAAAGTCTTGAGCGACCTGCCCCTTCTCTCTGCAGGAGGGCACACAGACAAGACTTTAGAATCACCCGGACCAAGAACTTCGAGTCCTGGCTGCTGAGAGCCGCCCGGGAACCGTAGATGACCCTCTCCGGGGCACACGGTGTGTGTTCACACACGGCAAGCTCTACACTGGCTAGTCTGCTTCGTGATTGGCAGCCACTACCCCCGCTTGCCTCCCACTCCACTGCCCCCGCCAGACGAGAACTCAAGGTCCTTGGCCAGCCCTAAAGAGGTTGGTGAGATGGCAGCGGCCACCTGTGCTTGCACGGCAGAAACGCCATGGCACGGGGACATCCCTGTGGTTCCGGCTGAGTCGGCCTGGGGCAGCCTGGGTCTGAGAACCTCAGGCCAAATCTCCCCAGAGGGGCTAAGCTGCATCCAGGACTGAGGCAGAGCTGCTCCACAAGGCCAAGACCTGTGGGCCTGGACCGCTGGCTCTCGCTGCGCTGCCTCTCTGGGGCCATCTATTAAAAGACATTCGTTAGACAGACGCTGGCCTAGGAACGCGTCCACGGCTTCCATCTGCACGTCCAGCCACAGCCCCAACACACTGCTTCAGAACTGCTGAGGGAGACCACGGCCCCTTCCTGGGACCTGCCAGGGGCGGTGCCGGGAGCACACCGAGGGAGCACTGTGCAGGACATGGATATACACAACAACAACATCAGCAATGGCAATGGTCTCTCATGTATAAGAGTGTGCACCTCCTACCATCGTCATATCCTTTGGGGGACAAATCCCTGGTTTGCACCTTGGGAGCTATGGCTCTCTTGCCATAAGTATGGTTGTCGTAACTGTTGTATTCAAACGAAGTCTTGGAATATTTCTCCAGCTCCTTGGCCAGGTTGGAGCGCGGCGTGGTGGTGGGCACATTGTTTCTGTAGCCGTACTGGGGGATCTCCAGCTGCTTTACGAAGCACATGGGCCTGGAAGGGAACAAGACAACGCAGCTGCTGACCCGCTCTCAGCTCCACAAGGCATCTGATTCTCAAATGCACCGAGGGTCGGAAACGCCACCAAAAGCACAGTTTTTGTGCAGACTAAGAACCTGCTCATTATATGGCATGACATACATTGTCTGTCAACAAAAAGAACAAGAAATAAAATATTTAGACGTCTTTTTTTCTTCTGAAAGGTTCCGGAGGTGTGACTGCAGACCCCCGTGTTTTTTCGTGTTGGCTACTGGGAGCAGAATCACACACAAATGCAATACGAGCCAGTCAGAAATCTCCCTTTCAAAAATAAGAGGAAATAAAGAAACAGGGGTGGTCAGGGAAGTAGATGGAGATGGAGATTAGACTGCAGCAGTGAGTATTCAGCCGGACAATGAACTGGAACAGCTGCTAATATACTTGTCGAAATCAAAATATACTCTCGATATTTTTACTTAGCAGGTATTTTGTTTCAGACTTTAAAACAACAAAGTTAAACGGAAGAGCATCCAACTGTTTCCTATTGACAGGTACTCAATACTGTCTTGTGTATACATGCCCAGCAACAAGCTTACCTATTAATTTTATTTAATTTTATTTATCTGTTTGTTTTATTTGAATACCAGAGATACAGGGAGAGTTAGACAGAAAGGTCTTCCATCTGCTGGTCCACTCCCCAAATGCCTGCAACAGCCAGGGCTGGGCCAGGCCAAAGCCAGGACCCAGGAGCTCCATCTGGGTCTCCCACGAGGGTGGCGGGAAGTTGAGTGTTTGAGCCATCACCTGCTGGCTGCCTCCCCGGTGCACGGTGGCGGGCAGCGGGGTCCGAGAGGGACACGGGGCTTGATCCCAGGCACTCTGATTAGGATGCAGCCATCCCAAGTGGCAGCTAAGCTGCTGAGCCCAACGCCTGCCCATCATCTTTCTGGTAAGTGGAATTCACAGACTTGATTCGAAATAATTTTGCAGAGTGTTCTGTTATACTCTTTACACACTTACAGACAGACAGACATAAACATGGATTCTATAATCTTGTACTTTTCTCAGGATAACAAATCCATAAAAATACTTCTAGATATTTTCACATCACCATTCTTGAATACCGAATTCCAGGGACAGAGAGTTTCCCAGTGATTCTTGGTTTTTCTAGATTATGTAAAACGTATTCAAAGATTTGATGAAGGCTGAGTTTTTAGTGTCGGTATTAGTGTTAGTTCCTAGTCGATCTGTAGAAGACAATGATTTTGAGGAAGAGCTCATATCCTGATTACTAGTGTCCAATCTGCAAATACCGCTGGTACCTCAAGCACAGGTGTGAAATTCTAGCCGATGTATGAAGTTTTAACACTTACACGTAAGAAGTGTAGCGTGGGGGTGGAAAACGCTCTTTGACAATAGATCTGTGTACCGTGATCCCGACTGCTTCTTCCTGGGGGCACTAATCTAAGGTTTTGGCTTTTCCTTCGCTAACTGAATTTGCTGGCGTGTCTGAGTGAAGGCACTTTCTCTGCAGTCCTCTTCTTTCGAGAGCCCGTGCCCCTCTGGCTGTGCGGGTCATCTGCACGCACGCGAGGGAAGAGGGCTAACGCACCGGTCGCTAATGGTTGCGAAGGCACTGGGACAGGATTCACGAAGAGCAGAATGGGGTCTCTTTCTCAACTGGCTTCAGTTTGATGGACATACAGTGATTTTAATATTGGATGTGGGTGGCCAAGCACTAGAGGCAAAGGAACTTTGGCATCTAAAGCGGAGAGGAGGGCAAGCTAAGGGTGTCCTGGGGCAGCAGGAAGGGATTGGGCCTGCAGAAGCAGCCTCCCCATGCCTGGGACACATTAGCATCAGGGGGAAGCAGGAGAGGCTCCCGATGGCAGGCAGGGCTCTGACGGAGGGAGGCGGGGAGGGAGGTGTGGCCTGGGCATGTGGAGTGAGCACAGCGCAGCACTCAGCTTCCTGTGGACAATTTCTCTAAAGAGCTGGTGGTTTTTGTTTTGTTTTTTTCCTTTACTAGTTAAGTGACTGAAGTTTTTTTTTCTTTCCTTCCTTCCTGCCTCTTTCCTCACCTACTGAGGGGTAGCCCTGCGTGGGGACACTGTGGGGACAGACCCTGTGCTCCGGGTGTTCGCACCTGGTACTTGGGTGTGGCCTCTGCAGGGGCAGAATGTACAAGCGCCCTCCAGGAGAGGCTCCACACTGCTTGCAGCACCCGCCCTGGCGGCGGCCGACCAGGCTTCACTGCCCAGTTGGCTCCGAGCAGCTGGAGTGGGGTGCACCCCGGCTCCCCAGCAGCCCGCGGTACCTGCACCTGCAGAAGGCTCCTCTCTGGCTGGAGGCTAACGCAGCCCTCACTGCCTCAGCACAGTGGAAGCACGCTGGGCTAAGCTAAGCTGTGAAAAGGGCTGCGTTAGGCGTGGCGGTAGGATGGGGACTTGTGTGTGAACAGGGTGGAATCTGCAAGCACACACGTCGCCTCTGCTTCCGGAAGCCGGGGACCACTGGACCACACCCAGGCTCAGTGCCTGCACGGCACCTGGGGACTCCAGGGAGGGCTCAGCTTCCTAGGCTCTGGGTACAGTAGGCTGAGGAGACTTTATAAAACCCCTGGCAACAGAGTTCCCTCCCACTCTGCAGAACTTCCTGTCAATAACCGTCCCTTTCCGAATCACACGAGACCCAGAGGGGTTACTTTTGAGGGGCTGAGGTGAGGGATGGTGGCGGTGATTTTTATGCTGATATAACTGACCGTGGGTTGGGGGATGGAGAGGGAGAAGGCCCTGTTATTTGCTCACTATTCAGTGATATCATCTGTAAAATGGGTGAGAGATTGTGAAGGGGAAACCGTAAGACAGGCGGCACATTGGCCATGATGTATACTGGGCAGACCCACACACAGAAAAATCTAGAGGCACACAAGCCAGCATTTATTTAGGGATTATCTCTCAAAGGCAGGAACATGTATGGCTTTTATTTTCTTATTTTTTCTTTATCAAATATTGCTGATTTTCTATAATTATTTTAACTTTTTAATGAAGGGGAGAGTAAAAATACTTTAAGAATGCCGTGAAATAAACACAGCAGAGTCAGAAAGACACTCATGCTGCACGCCTGGTGGTTTGCTCCATGAGGAGGTTTATCTCAAAGAAATCATCTGGCAGAAGTCAAATGCTACTCCCTGGGACACGTTAGTTACTGCTCCTCTCCAACAGTGCGAGTGGGGAGCAGCCTCCGTGCTGGAGGACAGGCACCCAGCAGGACAGCACAGATGTGTGGAGGACAACTCCCATTTCCGCAGAGACAAGGAGCGAGGTGGACCGTGTGATGACTGACACGGCTTTCACCTGGACAGGGGCTGAGGGAAGGGCCAGGGCGGAAGATCAGGGGATGGGGTGCGTTTTCCTCCTCCTCACATCGAGAATCACCCTCCCCAAAGGTGAGCTCACAAGCCCCTCCTCTGGGTTTCCGCATCTAGGTGTTCCGGCTGTCAAATGGTGGTGATGACGCCTCCTCACAGCTCCAGCACCCGGGGTAGAAGGAGCTGGCACTTCCTGCAGAGCTCGCGGAGGCCCTGGTGCGGGCCTCAGCTCCCGGCCGCCACAGCGTAGCACCCTCCTGTGGGCCGCTGCCATGTGGCCCCTCCACAGGGAGCTAAACTTACTTTGGGCATCTCATTAATCTTCAAAGCCTCCCTTTTATGCAGCATCCATGGAATCATGAAATATCAGGGCCAGAAGGAAAACCAGAAACATCTTGTTCAATTCCCTTATTGAAAATCCCCCACCGGGCGAGATTTTGGTGTAGCAATCCAGACGGTGTGTGGGACACCCTCGTCTCTGTCACAGTGCAGGAATTGAGTCCCGGCTTCCACCCCAAGCCACAGGTCACGGCCCAGCTCAAGTACCTGGGTCCCTGACACCCATACGGAACACCTGGATGGAGGTCCATGCTCCTGGCTTTGGCTTGGTCCAACCCCAGCTGTTGCAGGCATTTACAGTGGATCAATGGATACAAGACCTCTCTGATTCTTTCTCTGCTTTCAAATAAAGAAGAATAAATCAGGCTGGTGCTGCAGCTCAATAGGCTAATCCTTTGCCTGTAGCGCCAGCACCCCAGGTTCTAGTCCCAGTCGGGGCACCAGATCCTGTCCCGGTTGCCCCTCTTCCAGTCCAGCTCTCTGCTGTGGCCCGAGAAGGCAGTGGAGGATGGCCCAGGTCCTTGGGCCCTGCACCTGCATGGGAGACCAGGAGAAGCACCTGGCTCCTGGCTTTGGATCAGTGCAGTGCGCCGGCCGTAGCGGCCACTTGTGGGATGAACCAACGGAAAAAGGAAGACCTTTCTCTCTGTCTCTCTCTCTGTCTCACTCTGCCTGTCAAAAAAATAAATCAAATATTAGAAATAAAGTCACCTAGGCCAACAGAGGCTAGGGGGTGCAGGGACCTTCTCATCCTCGCACAGGTTGAGGTCGGGGTGGGACGGAGTCTGACACCTAGCACAGCTGCACAAAGGGCCTCAACCTGATCGCGTGTGCCTGTGCCCTGGTGTGCCTGGGTGGACTGCAGCCACAGCTTGTGCCCATGTCCAGGCCTGTGTCTGTGGTGCATCGCACATGAAGCTCAGGAAGAGAACTCGGCTGGGTACCTTAGGACTCGGTCGGAGGCCTGGTTGGACTTGGACACGTCACAGCTCTGGTGTTTTTCTTGGGCCTTTGCCAGTTTCTCTGCTGCAGCAATCGGGCATCCTGAAAGGCTGTGGATACAGAAAGGGCATTCAGTCGGTGTGATGCAAATGGCTTTGGGGTGCAGCGGCACAGCCCCAGCTGTGTCAGCTCATGTCAGCATGAGAAGATTCTACAGCAGGTGGAACCCGGCGGGTCTCCCCTGCCATGGTGACCCTGATGGAGTAGAGCAGGAGCAGGAGCAGTGTCTGTTCAGTGTGTGTGATTCTGCTGGCTCCCTGCAGGCTGTGCTGACGGCTGCACCGCGGCCACAGCTGCCTGGTCTCTCAAGAGTCCGTGTGCTCGTGGGCATGCGAGCGAGTGCAGGGTGTCAGGCAGATTCTACTGTGCGTGCACGGTGTTTCTGGAGATGAGAGTGTGGCCATGGGAATGGTGACTGACTGGCTGGGCCCCATGGTGGGGCTTGGGGCTGCTTCCATACATGTCCTGGCTGCTCTGTCTGACCTCAGGGCCTTCCCTTGCTCCACATGATGGGAGTGACAGTGGGGAGAAAGCACAGCCCTAGGACCAGGAGAAGACGCCTTGTGGAATTAACTATTTGGCCTGGTCTGGACAGGAGAGTGTGTGCGCGCTGAAGACAGAGATGGAGATCCCATGGCTGAGTCCTGCCCCACGAGATCCAGGGCCTCCTGTGGGGGCCTGTCCAGGCGCTCACCCCGTGTACTGGTCAGCTCACTCCAACGTCTGATGTGGCTGAGGCTGGGGGCAACTCTCACACCCAGAAGGCTGCCCCTGTTGCGCCCTGAGCCTGGCCCTTACTCACTTCTCAGCCCTCCTCCCCATGCTGGTCACACACCAGAAACCTCTGGCGGCACAGAGCTGTGCCCGTGTCCCCACCAGGCGCACAGGCACAGAGCAGCCTGGTCCTGTAGCAGCTTCTTCTGCAGCATCACAGGTGCTGAGAAAACCGCTCGCCGAGCCCTTCCCACCCCCAAGCAGAGACGGACGGCTCCGGGGGCGTCTGGACGCTCACGTGAAGCCCGCACTGAGCTGGAAGGGGACTGGAGCTTGCCCCAAACACAAGGCCCCAGGACGTGCACTCAGTGTGGCCCAGAACTGAAGCCAGTTACTGGACGTCATCATTCCTGGCCATGCGGTGGGGCACCGCGGGGTGGTGAAGCACCAGGATGGCCCCTCACCCCAGGGAAGTGGAGCCCAGGTCTGACGCAACCAGTTCCGGGCAGTGCTCAGTTCTGCCCCTTAGACTTGCCCCGAGGTGGCACCTTTTGGGGGCTGTCTTTACAAGAGGGTGGGCGAGACAAGTAGGAGAGTCCAATCTGCGAAAGGGAGACCTGAGCAGCTGCACCCCCCCGGCAGCCGCATGCTGGGGACCGTCTGTGTCCTGGGCAGCTGCACCCCCAGCAGCTGTGTGCTGGGGGCCGTCTGTGCCCGTGGGCAGGGAGGTGGGCACATGCAGCGCTGGGGACCCTCTGCATCCCGGGCAGGGAGGCGGGCGCCTGGGGACGCGCGGGCGGCTTACCTTCTGTGGGAGTTCCTGTTGCTGTTTACATGCCCGCGCCCTGTGCAGCCCGGAGTGGGACACTTGAGCACATTTTCATGCATGGCAAGAACTTGACAAGGAGAGCAGAGAAAACAGCCCAGCGTTAGAACAGACATGGTCGGAGCACACGGAGCTGTAGTTGTTCTCACAGAGGCCGGGTGGGCGTGACAGACAGTGCTCGCGCATCTGGGATGGGCATGGTCAGAAACACACACGCAGGAAGGAAGAGGCGGCAGCGCGCCCAGGGGGCTGTGCCAGGTGGGCCGCTGTGGAGGCCGGAGGACAGGACGTGGACGTGTGCCACATGGCACAGCGAAGCAAGGGCGTCCCTGACTAGCCCTGCAGGGGAGCGCTGAGGACTGGCAGCCAGGAAGTGCCGTGCAGAGTGCTCACTTCTATTCTGCTCTCATCAGTTCCTTAGGTTCTTGAGGTGCACGGGGCATTCCGTGTGGGGAGATCAGCTCAGGTTAGCATTTCCATTGCAGACATTTGCAATGTACACACACTGAATGAAATGTCACTGGCTCACTGCAGGCCTGTGTTTTGGAAACGTGGGTGTCACGGAAGGCTGGTGGGACAGGAGAGGAAACCAAGCCTGACCCTCACAGCAGTCGGAGAGAAGGCCTCTGCATCCAGGACTCAGTCTGTGCTTGGTAATTAAGTGAATTGAGCGGGAATGTCAGTGCTATGTCTCTCAAAATGTGAGAGCAACCAGTGGCAGAGTGGGCATGGATGCTCCACAGGGAGGAGGTGCCGCTCGCTGCGGCCTGGGGAACTGTGAAATCTATCACAGCAGGGGTGACCAGACCTGTCTGTGTCCCTCTGGCTAGTCCTTAGGGAACACCTGACATTGCTGCCTTCTGGAGGAGGTGGAGAGAAAACAGCCACTTAGAGGCACTCCTGTAGTCACCACTGAGCTGGGACAGTCAGAGATTCACCCTCACCCCCACCTGCAGTCACCCCTGAGCTGGGACAGTCAGAGATTCATCCTCACACACCCTCCTGCAGTCACCCCTGAGCTGGGACAGTCAGAGATTCACCCTTACATTCTCCTGTTTTCGAGATGGAACAGTGAGGGGATCACCCTCACACGCCCTCCTGTAGTCACCCCTGAGCTGGGACAGTCAGATTCATCCTCACACCCCCTCCTGCAGTCACTTCTGAGCTGGGACAGTCAGAGATTCACCCTCACACCCTCCTGCAGTCACTCCTGAGCTGGGACAGTCAGAGATTCACCCTCACACCATCCTGCAGTCACTCCTGAGCTGGGACAGTCAGAGATTCACCCTCACACGCCCTCCTGCAGTCACTCCTGAGCTGGGACAGTCAGAGATTCACCCTCACACACCCTCCTGTAGTCACCCCTGAGCTGGGACAGTCAGAGATTAACCCTCATACATCCTTCTGTAGTCACCCCTGAGCTGGGACAGTCAGAGATTCACCCTCACACCCCTCCTGCAGTCATCCCTGAGCTAGGACAGTCAGATATTCACCCTCACACCCCTTCCTGCAGTCACCCTTGAGCTGGGACAGTCAGATTTGCCTGCAGATTCAGAAGGCTGTAGGGGGCTCTCCCTGCCCATGAGGTTCACCTGAGATCAAGTGAACATGTAGGTCTACAGAACAGTGGCTTCCCAGCCTGGTCACATCATGTGTGACCCATGGTTCTCTCCCCACTCGGGAGCAAGCTCTCTGTTTCCCCAGCGTTTACTCGGCTTGCTGGGCGCTGTGCAGGACATCCACTTGCTGTCACCTTTATTTGAGTCCTTGTTTTGTGTTCTTACCACTGGTCAGTTCCCTAAAACAGTCTGTTTTGGTTTCATCTGTGTATCTCCCAAGTCTCTTGCCTTGTCCTTAGATTTGGTGATGCTGTAAACATCAAAGAAATCAGCATAGCCTTAGGGCTTGCGTGAAGGTGTAGAGTGGCAAACCACCATGTGGGGGCTGCATCTTATCTCAGAGCGTTAGTTCTAGTCCGTGCTCCTCCATTTCTGTCTCAGTCCCCGCTAGTAACAAACCTGGGAAGGTAGCGGATGATGACCCAAGCTTCTTGCTCCTGGTGGGCATTTGGAGATTAAACCAGAGGATGGAAGATCTCAATTCTTTTTTTTTTTTTTTTTTGACAGGCAGAGTTAGACAGTGAGAGAGTGAGAGAGACAGAGAGAGAGTTATAGACAGTGAAAGAGAGACAGAAAGGTCTTCCTTCCGTTGGCTCACTCCCCTAATGGCCGCCACTGCCAGTGCTGTGCTGATCCGAAGCCAGGAGCCAGGTGCTTCCTCCCGGTCTCCCATGCAAGTGCAAGGACCCAAGCACTTGGGCCATCCTCCACTGCACTCCCGGGCCACAGCAGAGAGCTGGCCTGGAAGAGGAGCAACCGGGACAGAATCCGGTGCCCCGACCGGGACTAGAACCTGGGGTGCCAGCGCCGCAGGTGGAGGATTAGCCAAGTGAGCCGTGGCGCCGGCAGGAAAATTTCAATCCTAATCTCTCTTCTCTCTCTCTCAGCCTCCCTTCCCATCTCTGCCTTTTACGTACACAAACAATAAATACGTCCTTAAAAAGCCAGCAGAGTTAGCTTTGGCCCACCTAATGTTGGGGCCTGGCTGGGGGAGGCTCTAGGCATCGGACCCTGCCCCGGGGGAGCCCCCTTCCCAGTGTGCCCCTGTACCTGTCCCTGCCCTGCCTCTTCCTTGCCCTCAGGACCAAGGTTTGCCCCTGCCCTCCTGCTTCTTCCTACCTCCCGCCAGGACAGCACTGACACATGCCTCACCAGCTTCCCTCCCACGGGGCAGGCAGCTCCCTCTCCTTTCTGCTCACTGTTCTTACAGAAAGGCTTCCCTGGAGACAGCAGACGTCTTTTTTCTCGCCTGTAACCTAGATCTCACATTCATCTGCAGCTAAGTGGACAGAGACCCTCGCACTGCCCAGGGGGAGGCAGGCTTGCAGGGGAACCGGCTTCCCCCTTGGTCTAATCCTGGCCTCTATACTGGAGCCCAAACCTGTTCCCAAGCTTTGGCAGTGTGTGGAGCTCCTGCACCTCGCCACACACACACGTGCTGCAGTCCCCCTCCTTGGCTTCTGCGGAACCTGGGGCGACCCGCTGGCCTCTGCCCGCAGCCCCTGTGGAAGTGAGGGTGCTGCTCTGTCAGGTGGGCCTCCTCAGAAACCCCACCCTCCCTGGCTTTCTCTGCCTCCCATCAACCTGGCCTCCACCTGCTCCTCCGCCTAACCCACCATGCATACTCTGATGGCTACACTTGTTGTTTCAGGTCCGTTTCGTTCCCGCTCCCTGGGATGTCCCATCCTCGTGTCCATGGCCACCTCTGCCCTCACTTCGCCTGGTCTCTACATGTCCTCCCGAGAGCCTGCAACAACATATGGCTTAATCACCACTTCCCCAAACGTGGCCCCACTCGCAATTTCCTGTCTCTTGCTGCTGGTGTCATCACCCTCACTGTCCTGAGGAGTCTGTGTGGGCTCCCCTTCCTCTCGCCACCCCACCATGGTGGTCTTGGCATCCCTGCACTGCCACAGCACCCCCAGGATTCCACAGGAGCCTCGTTCTCCACTCAGCACGCAGGGCGTGGCCTCACGGAAGCCAAGGGCCCCTTGAGCAGCCTCCCCACTATCCCACCCAGTGTCCAGGGGCTGAGGATCCACCCGGCAGATGGCAGCCCTCCACCTGGACGCAGACAGCCAGGAGAGCCTGAAGGCCCCGGCATGCCAATGCCGTCTGGACGGTGTACTGCTGAGTCCTTCGTTAGAAGCATTTGGGCAGAAACAAGGGCCTGAGAAGCCAACCCGGAAGAACATGCCAGCCAGCAAGCAGACCGAGCCCTCCAGGGACCGTGTGTGCTTCTTTTTAGGGTACTGCAAAGAACCAGCCAGGAGGAGACGCTGTGGACTGCACGTGGGACCCCACCTCCTCCCCGAGTGCGGTCTGACCCACGGTGGCACGAGTCTGCACACTGCACTGGCCAGAGCGCCGGCTACATTTCTGCTGCCTTTGGATCTTCCTGTGGAAACAGTCGGGAATTTCTCGGCTGCACAGGAACTGAAATTCCATGCTGAAGATGAAAACTGCACCAAAACAACTTTAGAGCTTGGTGCTGTTGTCCCACTTCACAGATGAGGAAAGCAGAGTGCAGAGAGCGTGCAACATGCTCCATGTCACACAGCTTGCTGGGGTGGGGCCCGCGAGGTCCTGGGGGGAAGGAGCCAGGCGTGGGGGCAGCCACACGGGGATCTGCCCCTCAGCCGGCCATTTACTCAGGCCAGCTAGAATCCACTCACGGTCGCCTAAAAATATCCAGCATCCTCCAGGGCCAGGCACTGTGCTGGCCCTGGGAGGGAAGAGGATGCCGGTCTCGGCGTCTCTTCCTCCCAGGTAGGCTCCCTGGCTGCTGCAAGAGCGGTGTCTGCCGGAGGAGCACCCACACGTGGAAGCTGCTGGCCTTGGACCATCCCGCCTCCCTGTCATGTAACACACGGGACTGTAGCCGCACACTCGGTCCGTCTGCTCCAAGACAGCTGCAGGAGCCGCGGGTTTACTGCTGTCACCAGCGCCTGGAAACCCGGCAGCCCCACTGGGCTCTGAAACCATCTCACCTCCGACGCTAAGCTCGTGCTGCTTCCTAAGCCTCAGATACCCCAAGAACTTGCCCTGCTCCCACGGATTTGCCTGCCGGCACGCCAGTGTCACCCATTTTGATGGGCCTGTCCTCAGAATGCTGCCGTAATCACCGGGCATCTTGCCAGCATCCAGCCTTGCCGCTGGCCATGGCCTTTTTTTCTTTTTTGACAGGCAGAGTGGACAGTGAGAGAGAGAGAGAGACAGAGAGAAAGGTCTTCCTTTGCCATTGGTTCACCCTCCAATGGCCGCCGCGGCCAGCACGCTGCGGCCGGCACACCGCACTGATCCGAAGGCAGGAGCCAGGTACTTATCCTGGTCTCCCATGGGGTGCAGGGCCCAAGCACTTGCGCCATCCTCCACTGCACTCCCAGGCCACAGCAGAGAGCTGGCCTGGAAGAGGGGCAACCGGGACAGAATCCGGTGCCCCAACCAGGACTAGAACCCCAGGGTGCCAGCGCCACAGGCAGAGGATCAGCCTAGTGAGCCGCGGCGCTGGCCTGGCCATGGCCTTTCAGACAGAGGAAGACCCTGCACACGCCCTGGACCCACAGGCAGGATCCACACTCATTTCCTCATCTCAGGACGGTGCCTTCCACCTGAGCTGCTGCTTCTGAGTCCAGCTACACAGTCGGCACACTTTATCGCTGACAGAAACAAACAGAGAAAGGTGTGTATTGTTTCAGCTCTAAAAGAAATCTAGCTGTTTTCATGGATGTTCTTCCTACTGTGAGAACCCAGTGAGAAGTGGTGTCTCAGATCAAGACCTGCCCAGTGAAACCTGCGTATTTACGCCCAGGGAGTGTAGACGTGAGAGAACAGGTATGACATGAGACATTCACAGTCGAAATGCAGGGAGACCTCCCAGATGAGTACTGACAGGGACAGCACACAGAGGGCTGGACACTCGGGCAGGAGGAGTCTGAGGCCCCTTGCTTGGGGTCGTGCTGCACTATTGGGGGGGGGGCACGGGGATGTCTCCAATGCTGTTTGGCTCAAATCTGGAATTTGAGTAGGGGTAGTAAAGAAGTGATCTGCCTGAGGTCGCAAGGCAAGTCAGGACAGAAACTGGAGGTGAGCTTGGAGCCTGTAGCCTGGAAGCAGGGAGGGGACTGGAGGTGAGGCCTGTGTGGGTGCAGGGAGGGGACTGGAGGTGAGTCCTGTGTGGGTGCAGGGAGGGGGATTGGAGGTGAGGCCTGTGTGGGTGCAGGGAGGGGACTGGAGGTGAGTCCTGTGTGGGTGCAGGGAGGGGGATTGGAGGTGAGCCCTGTGTGGGTGCAGGGAGGGACTGGAGGTGAGTCCTGTGTGGTGCAGGGAGGGGATTGGAGGTGACCTCTGCGTGGTGCAGAGAGGGGACTGGAGGTGAGCCCTGTGTGGGTGCAGAGAAGGGGAATGGAGGTGAAGCCTTGTGTGGTGCAGGAAGGACTGGAGGTAAGTTCTGCGTGGGTGCAGGGAGGGGACTGGAGGTGAGCCCTGTGTGGGTGCAGGGAGGGGACTGGAGGTGAGCCCTGTGTGTAGCCTGGGAGCAGGGAGGGGACTGGAGGTGAGGCCTGTGTGGGTGCAGGGAGGGGACTGGAGGTGAGGCCTGCGTGGGTGCAGGGAGGGGACTGGAGGTGAGTCCTGTGTGGGTGCAGGGAGGGAACTGGAGGTGAGGCCTGCGTGGGTGCAGGGAGGGAACTGGAGGTGAGTCCTGTGTGGGTGCAGGGAGGGGACTGGAGGTGAGGCCTGTGTGGGTGCAGGGAGGGGACTGGAGGTGAGGCCTGTGTGGGTGCAGGGAGGGGACTGGAGGTGAGGCCTGCGTGGGTGCAGGGAGGGGACTGGAGGTGAAGCCTGTGTGGGTGCAGGGAGGGGACTGGAGGTGAGCCCTGCGTGGGTTGCAGACTATAGGTGAGCCTTGTGTGGGTGCAGGGAGGGGACTGGAGGTGAGCCCTGTGTGTAGCCTGGGAGCAGGGAGGGTGGTCTAGGGGGAGTTCCCCTCCAGGAGGGGAGCAAGGGGTGGAGCTGCCTCCAGGGACAGGGAGGATCCGGGTGAGATGTGATGGAGATGGCATCAGGCAGGAGGGCGTGGACACAGTCACGGGGCTGGAAGGCCCAGGGCCGCGGAGAGACGGGACTTACTTTCCGGAGGGACCCTATCTTTGTGCGGGCACCCGGACAGACTGCGGTGATGCGGGTAGAGCCCGGTGACGTGGCCGGTTCCATCACACCCGGGGGTCGGACACTTGCTCTCTTTCTTTTCTGTTCTTGAGGGATCTAAAAGCGACAACAGGTGCCAAGAGAACGAGTGGTTTACCAACGGAGATGACCGTGATCACTTAACAACCTGAAGACAGCTCCGCTACACAGGCCCTGACGCCGCGGCCTCCAGCCTTCCCCGTAGCACCGTGAGCTTCTGCCCGCGAGAAGAGCAGAGCCTGACCCTCGCCTGCACCCGATCGAGTGTGTTCCCGTGTGTTACATGATGCGCTGTGCCCACCGTGATGGGACAGCGGCCTTCCCAGAGAACACGCACGGCACGGCCATCACAGAGCGACTGCCCCGGAGACGGAGATGCTCGCCAAGCCGCTCTGGCCGTGTGCGCGGTGAGCGGCGGCTTCCCTGGCGGCAGGAGCTGCTGTCCAGGGTGAAGCAGCGCCGTCTCTCGCACAGCACTCAGAGCTTTTCTGAGCACAAACGGAACTCTCAGGAGGCCTGCAAGGGGACAGCTCAGGGTGGAGGCCCCATGTGACAGGGGCGATGAGCAGAAGCCACCACAGCAGCTGCGTGTCAGGCTCCGTCCGTGCTGGCATCAAGGCAGGCCTGTGCCACGCGACGCATGCAACCCGGAACTACGAGGCCGTGGCTGGTGGCAGCCCCTGGGCATCTGCAACCTCAGTCCAGGCCAGGGCGGAGCCGACTTTCTGTCCAGCAATGTAATGAAATCACTCACTCAGGAAACTGGTGCTAGATCCAGAGCTGAGCACGTTCATCACTGTGTAGCAGAGCGCTGCTAAGGGAGAGCTCAGGCCCACCAGGAACCCTGGAAACACTGTGCTGTCAGCAGTCTGTGAAAACCAGTTGCTCGGATCACAGAGTCGCCACTAGGCTTTAGCTAGAGAATGCTCTTTAGTGCAGTGCTCTTTAGGGATTCAGCTCTGTATGGTGTAGGCTCACTAATCAGGCCAGCCAGCCGTTTTGGCAAATGTTTGTTTTGGTAAAGAGCTTGCTTTTTATAAGGAAAAAGCTTGGTTTTAAAATTTGTGGACTCTTGTTGGATTTTCTTCTTCAGTCATTCACGTGGACTTGGAGTAGACAGAGAACCCACGGGAGCACACAGATGAGACTGTGTCTGTACAGCAAGCCTTCTCCAGGCGACCCTGGACGCCGGCACCTCTTCCCTCAGTGCTGGCGTGAGGGCAGAGTCCTTCCAACAGCAGTCAGCACTTCCCTACCGTTCCTCACTGATCGGAACCTCTAGAAACAAACCTATAATTACATGGCTGTCACTTCAATTTCTAGTTACCTTATTGGAGCTCTTCTTACATATACACACTAAAAACCTTTGAATAATTTCAGAATAAGATTGATATAGTTTAGTTAATATAAATTTGAAATACTAAGTACACAGTAACAATCTCAAAGGAGCATAGTTATTATTTCAAATCATGAACTGGACGTAAGGGATCTTTAACCAGATACAGATACTGATCAGGGGTAAAAGACTGGTAAGTGTAATTAATCATTAAGTGGCTATTTCATCAGGATACTTGTGATTTACTAACGAACTATGCTTCACACATCTCAAAGAACTCTGAAATTCAGCAGAGATCTGCATAGAGACACTGCGGCTCAAGGGCGTCTCAGGCTGTGGAGGACCACGGGGGTACACTGTCCTCCCCATGCATGGCACCCTGGTGGGGTTGGGGCATGCTGCTTGCCCTCCGTGTCACTGCCCACCTCTGGCCAGCCCAACCTGTCTCCACACACAACATCCCAGCAAGCAGAGCCCAGCAACGCAGCTGCAAACGCTGCCACAACTTACACGGAAACACCGGGCCGCTCCCCTGCGCCTCCCGCCACGGGGCTGAGCAGCGGAAGAGGAGCTTCCTAACTGACTGCTCTGTGTTAGCATGATTCTAGAACATTCCTTATCGACAGTTTACATGGGGTTGAGGCCTGTGAAGGGCTGAGAAGTTGCAAACGGAGGCTGCTGTCAAGCACTGTGCACTGGCGGTGTCGTGAGACACTCACAGGGAGGCTGATCTCTCAGATCCACTCTGCAGGACGTGCTGGGCTGTGGGTTCCGGACTCAACCACAGACACCTGCCGCGCAGCAACGCAGGAAGCCCCACAGTGCACAGACAGGGGCTCAGGTCCCAGGACGACGGCCCGCAGACCGGGGAGAAGCGCAGCCTCTGCCAGTGCCCCCGACCCGGGCAGGCTGGACCCCTACCCTGCCCCACTGCGGGGGAAAGGCACGTCTCAGCTGGTTTGGGCTCATTCCCATCCCTGCCCCTTCACACAGGGGAAGCAAACGCCTGAAGTTCCGTTCCTTGCAAACAAATAAAACCAAGTAACATCAACAAAACGAGCCAAAAGTGAGCCGGAACTGTCCCAGAGATCACAGAGACCATGGGTGGCCTGCCACAGGGAGCCTGGCAGCCTCTCACCGCACTCCTCAGCCACCGAACGCCACCCAAGAACCACGACTCAGAGCCCCAGAGCATCAGCAGAAATCACCTGAGCAGACGCTGCTTCTTCCTCAGGGTGGTCGGTTCCTGTATGACCTCACCAACTTCAACCCCAAATTCTCTGTGGCTGGTCTGCGCACATCTCGGTTACCCAGTGAGCACTGCAGGCATGAGCAAGCCGTGTGCTCTGCTCAGCCACAGACGTGTCCCGTGCCGCACTGCGCGCCTGGCGCAGTCTCGGCCTCCCCTCCGAATCCGCAACGCCTGCCGGCCTGCACCCACGGAGCCTCCGGCGCAGGCTGGCCTGGCCTGGGTCTGGTCCCAGCGATGCCCGGCATGCCTGGAAGTGAGGCACACACATGGAGAGGCGACACACACCTGCGGCAGGGCAGGGCAGTGTTTCTGGCTGTGCAGAGTTTATGCAGTAACTGATTTTCAAACCGAATTCCTGGCCCTCATCATCAGGTCCAAAGTGAGAAAAGCCAGCGTTCGCAGTGAGTAGGATAAAGACGAACAGAAAAAGAACTTCTTCACACTGACTCAGGACTGGAGGACCCTTGATTTCATTGCATTCTTGAAACTGCTTCTCTCTGCATTCTCTAAGAAACTCGTCACTGAGACGCCCACAGCGGCCACGCTCTGCAAGAGGCCGAGTCACCACCAGCCTCACAGCCAGAGCAGACACTGCAGCTGTTGCAAACATGGAGTCAGTTATTCAGGCCGTATATATTTGATATATTTACAATATATATGTATAGTGTAAGTATGCATATATATAGCTAAATATACAGACATATACAAATACCCGTCTGCATGTTTAATAAGAGAAATTCAGCTAAAACTATCACCCTGGATAGTTTTGAGGGCTGTGGGACACGCTGTGTCTGAGCAAAGCGCCATGGCTATGGCCACGATGGAATGGAGGCCGCGAGGCAGCCGGGGTTATGCTGCTGCTGGTCTCAGCTAAGGCCATGCCCACCTCCTGCAGCCAATGGTTCTTACTGCCTGTGACCTCAGGTAAGTAAGGTGCAGCCACCACCCTCAGCTGCTGTCACGGGTCATCCTACCAAGGGCTCTGACTTCTACCTGGGATGTTTCCATCAGCACCCTTCATAAATCCTGGGCCCCCGCCTCGCCATGCTTCTCTGTGAGGCTTGCTGTCACGGCAGGAGGTGGCTCCTGGAGCACATCCGGGCTCATCCGCCCCAGACGCCGTGTGTGCTAACCCACGCATCCCCGAGTCCCGTGTTGCTCAGATGCCCTAACGACATGGCATCAGCTTCCCCCGGGCATCTCGGACAAACCCGCTATTTGCTCTCCTGAAACACAACCACTAAACGGACTTCTGAAGCCAACTCCAGGGCTGCACGGGAGCTAGGATTCCGCGCCCACCACGCTTCCTGGGCAGCCCAGCAGCAGCGCCTCCTACGTCAGCTCACGCTCTCGTGAGGCACTTACGTTAGGTAGAAACATTACCTTTACCATAGTATGGCTTTTTGACATGGCTGTCACTGGCTTTGGGCTTCCTGTCCTCCCCGGCAAGCTGTCGTGGAGACTGGTCCTCGTAGGACCGCAGGCTGTCCCGCCTGCCGGCCTCCATGGCCATCTTCTCCCTCATGGCCTTGGCCCTCTCCGTCTCCAGGGCAATGGCTTTCTCCAGGAGGGTCAGGTTCCCCTTGGTCATGTCGAACACCTCTTCTGACCTGTCGGAGTTGACGGAGGTGGTGTCGTCATCCCGCTCGCGACACCCATCCTCCTTCGCACAGCTAGAGAACGTTCTCGACCGGGGACTCAGCTGCTCCTCGAGCCTCATGAGGTTCATCATGTCCGAGTAGCTCCTGTCGGGCGTCCTTCCCGGGAAGTCGTCCTCGGGCCGCGCGTGGCTGGGCGCCTGGCCCCTCTCGGGAGGGCTGGTCTCGCTGAGCTTGCGCGCCAGGTCGAAGCACTGGTTGCGCAGGCACTCGAGGCTGCTCAGGCACACCTCCTCGTCGCTCTCCTCCACCATCTTCTCGGCGAGCCCGTTGTTCATGGGCTTCCCCAGCATGACGTAGTTCATGCCCCTGCCGTCCTGCGGGGGCACGCTGTCCGCGTAGCCCCGGTCGCTGATGCTGTCGGAGAGCACGACCCCGTGCCCTTGTGCTAGCAACTTCAGGGAGTCCACGGTTTCCCGGACGACGTCACTGTCCAGGTCTAGGCTCAGCTCGCTCTTCCGACCCAGGTTCTCGTTCTTGTCACTGTCATCCTCCAGGCTGTTGGAGGTGTTGCTGTTCATCTCCGACTCGGTCCTGGCCCGGTACGCGGCGTCCTCGGCGATTTTGCCGAGGTTCAGCAGCGACTTGGCCACGAGTTCATCGTAATTGTCATACTCATCGTTGTTGTTGTCATCCTTCTCCGTGTCCTGCAGGATGCGCGTGCTGTGACAGTTCATCTGATGGTCGTCTGCGAAGGAAAGAAAAAGACAGAAGAGAAAAAGAAAAGAGAGAAATGGCTGGAAGTTCAGTTGCGACAGCAAGGACAGCAAGTTAACTGCAAGTGACGCTCTGCTCCTCACGTAACAGAGCCCCAAGTCCCACTGGCAGCAGGCTGGAAGAGCTGACCTCAGGGAACAGACCGTGCTGAAGAGCCAGGGGCCAGCTAAGACATGTGCTGTGCACTGCCAACGTCCTCGGCTAATCACAAACCAGCAAACGTGGCGAGCATCAGGGCCAGACTGCGGTTTCTCACTGCCTCCATCCTCTGGGACGACTCACTGGACGCACACCTTAGACCCACCCTGGCCCTCGGCCGTCTAAGCGGCCGTGGACTTGAGGAGAACGCTCGCTCGCAGCGACCCCGCTGAGAGTGCAGATTCTCACAGTGGCGCTCAGGCAGCGCAGGGAAAAGCGGCCAGCAGGTTTCTGAGCGACACCCACATCATAAGCACATCCTGGAGTGAATAAAGTTAGAATCTCATTCTTTGAGACCACTGATCCCGACACAAAATAAAAGCAACAGGAATTCCACAGGAAAGCTCAGAAAGTAAACCTGATGAGCTGTGCTTCTCACATGCGTGTCTACCTGTAGGAGGCAGTGGGAGGGAACAGGCAAGACACGGCTGACGTCTTGAAACAGGCTGGGGATGAGTAGGCACCAGGGACACACGCACGGCGAGCTTTGTGCCCATCCACTGCCCAGCCTCGGGAACACTGTGATGACCTGGGAGAGAGCACTGGATCCCACCAGAGAACTTGGGGACTCTCCTTTAAAAAGACTGTGTTATAGTGACATGAACCCCTGACGTCTCATCTGAGACATACTGTTTCGTACTCAAGGAGTACGTGGGACTCTATTCACCACGGTACACAAATGTTACTGTGTGTGTTGCAAAACAATGATGAAAGGTTCTAGGGGTCGGCGCTGTGGTCTAGTGGGTAAAGCTGCTGCTTGCAACGCTGGCACGCCACGCTGCAGAGCAGGTTCAAGTCCTTCTGTTCTGCTTCCAATCCAGCTCCTGGCTAATGCACCTGGGAAAGCAATGGATAAAGGTCCAAGTACTTGGGTTCCTTGTCACCTACATGGGAGACCCTGACAGAGTTTCATGCTCCTGGGTTTAGCCTGGCCCAGCCCTGGCTGTTGTGGCAATTTGGGTGAGTAATCAGCAGGTGGAAGATGGATCTCTCTGTATCTCCCACTCTCTGTTATTCTGCTTTCAAATAAAGGAATAAATAAATATTGGGGCCGGTGCTGTGGGGTAGCAGGTAAAGCTGTTGCCTGCAGTGCCGGCATTCCATATGGGTGCTGGTTCGAGACCCGGCTGCTCCACTTCCCATCCAGCTCTCTGCTATGGCCTGGGAAAGCAATGGAAAATGGTCCAAGTCCTTGGGCCCCTGTACCCACATGGGAAGACCTGGAAGAAGCTCCTGGCTCCTGGCTTCAGACTGGCGCAGCTCCAGCAGTTGTGTCCAATTGGGAGTGAACCAGTGGATGGAAGATCTTGCTCTCTATGCTTCTCCTTCTCTCTCTGTGTAACTCTTTCAAGTAAATAAATAAATCTTTTTTTTTTAAAATAAATAAATCTTAAACAAATATTAAATGGCTTTCAAATGAATCTTCTCCCTTGGATGGGATTTGGCTAACTGCAGGTCATTTTCCTGTCTCTTCTTTGTTTCTGTTTTAAAAATCATAATAAGGATTGTTAACATTCATTAATGATTTGAAGAAGTGAGGTCTACCGACTCTGTTGACTCAGAGCTGAGATGTGAAGCCTCTAGTGCTTTATGGATTTTATGCAGAAATGCTTTTGTTAGTGGAAACAGATTTGGAGCTCAATCTAGCAATAATAGAAAGTAACATCCTGTTATCCTATACTGAGTCAAAAACATTTAAGATTTGACACACCTTCTAAACATCAGCAAATCAAATTCATTTATTAGGCAGAGAGCATCAATGACTGTGTGAGACCAATGCCGTCTCTCTCTCTCTCTGGATACTTCCTGTAGGTCGTCTTCTCTATTGTCAGGGCAAATGCATCCCCAAGGAGCAGACAGACAGAACAGGAAGCCCGAGCCATGGGTGAGATCAGCAGTGCTGTGGTGTGCTCACCCGCCTGGTGCACCGGCGCTTGGCCTCAGGAGTGAGCTGTGAGGGCCTGAGGTCACTGCTGCTCCAACATGTTCCTGGAGACGGGCCATTCTCCTCAGTCTATGCACCTCGGGAGAGTCCTGGAGACGGGCCATTCTCCTCAGCCTATGCACCTCGGGAGAGTCCTGGGCTATGATCACAGAAGTGTTCCGGGGTAGCCCGGCTGCTTTGTCGCTGCACAGCAGGCTTGGGGAGGTCTAACAGTGTGCAGCAGCGCAGCCACAGACAGACCCTCCATGTGAGCACAAGGACACGCGTGTAGCATGCTGATGTGTGTTGGGAGGTAAGCTGAGGAGACCAGTCGGTTCGAGTTACCATTTTCGTGGTTTCTCTGAGGAAGTCCTCCAGTCATCAAGGGATTTGGAAAAGGAGGAAGTAGGGAATGTGGTAGAGAGGACAGGAAGAAGCGCCGGTGGTCCCTGCCCTCTGCAAAGGCCCCATGCAGCCCGCAGTGGAAAGGGTGGGCTCCACACTCTGCACCCTCAGCCCCGCCAGGCCTGCACCTGCCCTTCTGCATCCTGTGAGGTGAGCAGGTGTGTACGTCCCCCAGTCAGGGACCAGGTACACCTGACTCACGAGTTACCTTCTCCCAAGACACTGAGACACAGAGGACACCTTCACACAGCTTCTCTCGCCGTGCTGATGTGTGAAGCTGGGAGCCCCAAAAACTGGGAGGATGCCAACTACCTCCAAGGGGTTCCACGGCAAAGCTGAGCAAGAGTGCACTTGGCTCACGGCTCTGCCAGCCTCACAGGTGTGAATCCGAAACCTGGCCCAGTGGGCTGCCGACCCCCGCTGTCAGTCTCGGCTCACCTGCATGGCCCCAACCTCCTGGAGGTCTCTCCCCAGGACCCTGCGAGTGCCCCGCACATGTGGTGGCCACACCCCAATGCCCTGGTCCACAGAGCAGGTACCCAGTACTCTGCACACGTGGTGGCCTCACCCCGATGCCCTGGTCCACAGAGCAGGTATCCAGTGCTGTACACATGTGGTGGCCTCACCCCGATGCCCTGGTCCAGAGAGCAGGTACCCAGTGCTCTGCACATGTGGTGTCCTCACCCCGATGCCCTGGTCCACAGAGCAGGTACCCAGTGCTCTGCACACGTGGTGGCCTCACCCCGATGCCCTGGTCCACTGAGCAGGTACCCAGTGCTCTGCACACGTGGTGGCCACACACTAATGCCCTGGTCCACAGAGCAGGTACCCAGTGCTGTGCACATGTGGTGGCCTCACTCCGATGCCCTGGTCCAGAGAGCAGGTACCCAGTACTGTGCACACGTGGTGGCCTCACCCCGATGCCCTGGTCCATGAGCAGGTACCCAGGAGCTACCTGGCACCTGGCCATCTTACCACATAGCATCTGAACACATAGCCTGCTATGTGCATGGCTCTCCTTCAACACTGTAGTGTCACATTGGCTACGGCTTCATGACTGACAGCAGTGGACAGGGACTGGCAGGTGGAAACACCCTGGTTTCCCAGCCGTCTGTCCCTTGGATGCTTCTCCAGGATGCAACTCCGCATTCGCCCAACATCTGGTCACCATGAGAAGCCACAGGCAAGCAAACGCACAAATGAGTTAGAGAGCACAGAGCAGCCAACAGCAGGAGAGAACAGGGCAGGGCTCTGCAGGGCAGTGCAGTCCTGGCCACCTCCCTCTGTCACAGAGCCCACTCTGAGACACGTGCGGTGCCTTCTGGGGGCAGAGGAACAGCCAGGTGAGCAGTCCTCGCGCTGTGCAGCACAGCAGCTTCCGCCAGGAGCTGTGCTCACCTCGGAGCCCACAGGGGGTGGCGGCCTGGGTTCTGGCCATGCCCTTCATCCAACACTGCTCCTAAGTGCCACTCGCCACACTCAGCAGTGCCATGCGTAGCCTAAAGACCCCTGGGATCCCTGACTGAAGCCTTCCAGTTCAACACAAGGGTGAGAGACTGGACAGCGAGGTGGAAGGCAGAATGGGATGCACTGTCTCGTGTGGCCGGCACCCCACGTGGCACTGTGTCCCCTCAGCTCCCGTGTTCCAAAGACATCTCTCACCGCAGTGCTGTCTGTCTCTTCTCCAGGGCTATGGAAAGAGCTTATGCTCCCGATTCAGAGTGACTTCCAGGCGCTGAGTTTGGGATGTGTTCTCACGGCCCTCCTAGCATGAGTAGGAGACACCATGGCGGCTCTCCCAGTCAGCCGTGGCTTCCCTTGAACCATGGGTTACTTGTGCAAGAAGAGCTGCAGAAACAATCCACTCAGAACTCTCAGGTCACCTGCGGAGGGCCTCGGGTCAAGGGGGGATGCAGCCCCGCTGTCTGACGCTTCAGGTCTTCTTTGCCTTGCTTGGCTCTCTCCCTCCCTGTCAGAACTTGCACAATCTGAGGACTGGAGCAGTTTCGCAATCACGTGTTTCCAAGACCAACAGATCCAAGTTGAGCAAGTGTCTCTCTGCCTTCAGCAGGAAGGGTAAGTCCTGGCCTCAGACCCTGTGCCACAGGGCTGCTTGGGTGGGGTGCACAGGAAGAGACAGAACTACAGCTGGGGAAGGCGGGGCTGCCGCCTCCACCGAGTCCCAAGTGACAGATTCCAGGTCTTTCCTAAGCCTTTGGGGCCTGGGTTGTGAGCAAGGGCAACTGCCTCTCAAGGTGCCCATGGTCTCCCAACTCATTTGCTTCTTGTTCTGCTCCACCAACGTGGACCTGCACTAGTTCTGCCTTTCTTGTGTAACTCTTCCAGGGCATCTTTCCACCACAGCCATTCCTCTACAGTCCCCGAGCTTCCCATGCTGCTCACAGCCCTACACAAGAGCCCAGGCAATGCCTGTGAGTCCCAAGCAGGCAGCGCGGGGCAGCAGCTGGCGGGAACTGGGCGCAGATGGCGCACGTGTCCAGCGGTTTTCAGATGAGAAGGCGGCGCTCCGGGGTGCCTGGAACATCACTGCCCTGTGTTTTGTAAAGTCCTCCTCAAAGACTGCTCTGTAAACAAAGTGCCGACGCTGCCTTAGGAGCAACCTGCCTGCACGCGCACAGTAACAGAGCAGCCACAGGCACGTGTCCCAGCTATGGGGCCTCCCGGCTGTGCTAACTCAGGGCTCACGTCTCCCAGAGAGAAGGGGCCGGGGCAGCCCCTCCATGGAAAAGAGGGGCTATGTGTGGTGAGAAAGCTATACCTGGAGAGATGACAGCCGGGCCAGGCAGGACTCAGAGTGGGGACGACAATCTCACAGGCACTTCAGTTGTGTCCACATGGGCGAGGCCTTGCTTATCACTGGGCAGATGGCTTTGGTTTATGATTTGCAATTGCCTAAAACATATTCCCAGCCCCCTTTCTGAACGGCGTGTTTCTTCCCTGTGGCTGTGTCCAGGCGCCCCTCGCTCACCACGAACGCTGCACAGCCAGCCGCCCCACCAGCCGGCCGCCAGCAGCCCTGACTCACTGTATCTGGACCTCGGCATCTGCTGCCATCTTCTGCTCTCTGCCTCTGGAAATCCACCTGCTGCGGGCACCACCTCACTGCCGTCTCCACATCTGAGGAAGCCGTCAGCTGCCCCTCACACATAGGAAGACCCGTCCCCCCAACACACAAACACACAGGGTCACTAAGAGGGCAAGCAGTCTGCGTTCCCGTCGCTGCCCCACAACTCCCTTCAAGAGCAAATGCATGTGAGGACAAGCCAGGTGCCCCCGTCTCCCCATGGATGCTGACTGTCCAGAGAACAGTGACCTCCACAGACAACCGGATCTGCTCTGGGGGATCCACCCAAACCCAAGGCTCTCCCAGCAAGGCCACTCATCTCCCTTGTGAGATCCCATCAGCACTTTTGTTCTCCTGGGCCAAGTACCAGCCTTTCTAGAACTCTCCATCAAACTGGAAAGGGACAAGGGAAGAGGGAAAGACACCTACCCCTTCTGTCAGGTCACAGACAAATGCTCTGACTGCCCCAGTTCTGCAGCCTGGCGTGGGAGGGGAAGAGCGAGGCTCATCTGTTCATCTCACAGCCACCTGCTGTGTCACGCTGCAGCTGACCGGGGAGCAGAGAGGAGCTTCCTGCATGATGGAGTCCCAGCGCAGTCATGGGGATGTCAGGTGCAGTCGAGGGAGGGCTCAGCAAGGCCTCCTGGAGAAGGTGACCCTGAGCACACCCCTAGAGAAGGGGGCGGCCCTCGGGGCAGGGCGTTCCGGGGGAGGGGCCAGCACAAGCAAACGTGGGGCTGGGGCTCTGTTGGCTCCAGAACAGCCAAGGGAGCATGACTGGAGGGCCTGGAGAGGGTGGGACAGGGGCACGCTGGCTGCTGGGGGTGATGAGGGCAGGGGCGTGACAACGGGACCCTGTGTAGAATTCACAGGGGTTTCTGTGTGAGGCACGTTGGAGCTGAGCTGTCCACTGGCAGAGCACTGTGCACAGGGTGGAAGCTCCCATGGATCCCGCAGGGCCTCTTGGGTCCTCGGGAGACTGCAGAGCTCAGCACCTGAACACAGGCGCACAGTGGCTCGTGGCCTCCCGGGGCCGCGGCCGTTCTGGCTTTCTCTGAGGGCATCTCCAGGACAGCCAGCAGCAACATCAGTACTGGCTGTGCCCTTGAGTGACTAAGGAGGGCGGTTAGCGGCAGGCTCTCCCTCCCTGAGGCCCATGGCCTAGCAGTGACCCTCACAAGTCCCCCATCTCACAGCTGGGCCGCTAGCCTGCACCTGCCACACGGGTCTAGCATGCGGGCAAGGCCTGGGGGACTCAGCCTCCTGACCGAAATGCTGTCCACGGCACGTATGAAGCTGGCTTGGACATAGCCCTATGCCGAGCGTGGTAAACCCAGGGAAGTAACCGTGTGGGAACCGCCTGTGCAGAAACTGTGAGCCATGCTCTTCAACTTGTGTGCAGCCATCTCAGCGACCGCACCACCTCCCGACATCCTGGGGGCCCTTCTGCACGCCCTGTGGGGAACACGGCTCCTGGGAACTGGGGGTGCTTACAAATGGACACCCATCACCCCTGCCTCCCAGAGCGCCCAAATGGGGCCACCTGCACCTTCTGCCTCCATCTCTATTGCCCCCTCTCTGTGTGTCTGTCTCTACCTCTATCTCTCTGCCTGGGTCTCTGTTTCTCACACACTGGCCGACATATCTGGACCACCTCGAGTGTCACTTGTATGCTGCAGCCGGTGCTGGGACCTGGGAGCGGGATCAGGAGTGGGGAGGATCCATGGAAGTTATGGCTCTCTGCTTTCCAGGAGGGTCTGAGACGACCGTGGCTGCTCACACACGTTTGCTGGGCTGTGAGGCACTGAACAGGTCATCAGGGCCCTTGTCCTCCTTTCTGGCCATTCTAGCCCAGCAGAGAGAGCTGGGCCTGCTCCAGAGCACCCACGAGGCAGCACCACTGGCTTGTCCTCAGGTCGAGGCCCTCAGCTTCCACCTGGACCCTCACAGCCTCTGCCACCATCACGATTCCTAACTCTGACCTCTGTGAGGAGCCACGCCCTGCACTTCCACGCCCACTTCTCTTCCACGTGTCCTCTTGGACTTGGGAGTCTGCAGAGCTCCTGTGTTCCCACGTAGTGCTGTGCCCTCAGCACACGTGACACACACGGGGCTCTGAAACAAGCTGCCACACGACGCGGACTCAGCCCTGACGCCATCACGTGTCTGCTGTGTGCAGGAGGGGCCTTTGTTCAGGGCCACCAATGAGCAGATCACGCCAGAGTCACCCTCAAATGCAACTGTACATCTGTCCAGGATTTTCCTACGCTACAACTTCCTTAGGCTGTGACAGGCTGGGAAGGTGGGTGAAGCGTAAGTGCCAGGATCCAAATCTGAGGCCACCCTGGGGCAAGTGAAGCCAGGTGACTCAGGCGACACAGGACAGCCAGTGCTGGAGCCACACCTTGTCCAACAGCACACTGCTCGCTGGGCACCAGCACTTGGCAGGTAACGCTGCTAAGGACAGAGCAGATTGAAAGAGCAGACCTACTATCTTCCATGTTTGATTCTGCGTTATTGCTAGAGAAAGATCGTCTCTTGTACTTGATGCATGTCCACGTGTTATCTGCATTTTACACGGACATCGCCATCTCCGCCTGTTTTCTGGGTTGTACTGAGATGACTGGAAATGCAGGGAATATAATTACAGAATCTGCTTTGCGGGGGAGGTGCAGTGTTGATCACGACCAGTGCCCAGAAAGGGGCAATTTGGTGCTACTCCCAGTCGTGCCTGCACACAACCTCCCTGGAGCAGGTGAGGTGGCTGTGGGGAGAGGTGACTGCTCGGTGGTCAGATCTCACCCCACTCTCCCGCCTGCTCACGCCGAA